AAAGAAAATGTTCGTTTTTCAAGTTTAAGACGTCTAACCGATATGTCCTCTCAACTTTCAGACCCGACTCTATCAAAACAAATTAAACAAAGTGCTAATGACTAGACAAAAATCATACCTGCAGTGGAAGGGGATTTATTGGCCTTAATTATCGAAAAATTACTGTTATTTGCAAGTTGTGACTGAAACTTCTGATGATGATATCTGTGATTAATGCCAAAATTTCGAAGTAGTATTGCAACCCGTTAGATTCCAAGCCTTTGTTTGAAAGATGATACACTGCAGTCAGAGTTTAAAATTTAAACCACGCAAATGCCGCAAATTGGGTCGCATTTATGCGACTGTTTCTACTGGCCTATTTCTGCTACGTCCTGGCTGTCTCCAGCGATTTGTCTGGCCTCTCGTCGCCAGTCATTTGTCCTTTAATTGTTGCTTCGTGTGTGAGTTGTCATGTAGTCTTACGTTGACCACATCGTCAAACTCAAGTGCTGATCGACAGCAAGAGTTGCACCTACTCTCTGTCACTGTAGCCTCATCACAATTACCTGCGTTACAATCGTCCGTCGTTTACCCAAACCTTACAAGCGATTTCTGAAGCCCCGCTACGTGTTTCTGCCTTCTTTTTCCGTAATTGCATATTTATACGCCATATCCGGCACTTCACGTATATAGCCTCGACGTCCTCATCGCGAAGACCGGAAACTATGAAAGAAAAGGATCGCGTCCAGGACAGAGCACGGCAGATTTTGTTGGCCTGCTATGAATAATAGAGGAGGAAGTGACGACCATGGCTTGAAGCTTCTTTACACCTTGAAGTCAAATCTGTTGAGTAGTCAACTAATAATAATAGTTGGAGGCCATCAAATGCTTCGCAATCCTGCCGTCTACCGTTTGAATGGAAGGGTTCGCCTTCGGGCAAGACGAACTCAAGATCCGAAAAGTGCTTAAAGATTATCAGGAAATAAAACACGACTGTCATCCATCTTGTCATTGGCATAGTGAAGACATTGCAAAACAATGTTGTCCAAGCGTTGTATGTTGATACCATCATTTATCTAGGATTACGTTTGACATTTGTGAAGTATGCGTAACGTCGTCAACGGAAATCGTCCATACCTGTTGTGAGCAGCATAATTTTGTTGCTTCCCTCTTTGAACCGATATCGTTCCGGTCAGAGTTCAGAGGTTTGAAGCGATGCTGCGAAAGTCGGTTATTAATTTTTGTATTACGGTATTTACAGCGTTCAGCGTTTTAAAGCTGCGCCAGCTTCGTCGTTTCGTCGCTGATCATTCAAATTCGAGTCACGAAATTTTTCGAAGCGCCTTTGTAGGTAGTAAACAGGTGACTAGTTATGGCAGAAAAGAAGGCGGCGAAATTTTGCAGCACGCCGAACTGGCGGTTTGCACGTGCTCTCAACGGATGTTCCATTTTTGCTCGACGACCTGAGGAAACGAAACACGAAATACATTAAATATGTGCTACGACATTCGTGGCTTCCGCGGGCAGAAGCACCGGAATGTCTGCGACGACGGCGGCGGCGATGTTTGATGAAAAAGACACGACAACAACGTCATCGACAAAACGTTCGCTTTGCGCACTGAAGTTTTGAAGTTCCAACCTTGCAAATGACATGGCATGGCGTCTGTGT